CTCTCTATCCAGGAAATCAGTGAGGTCCCAATTTTTGAAAGCCAGGAACAAAGGTGGAGCATACAACATGAATATGACCGAATCATGGCTCAAAATGACACCAAGATCCTTGATTGGTTCTGTGATGAAAACTTGTGTATCCCTAGGGGGTGGATGGTCCCTCCCCAAAATATGGATCGGGTTTGTTTTGCGTTTCATAAATTACGGATTAGCAAATGCAAGGGAAAACGGCAATGTAAACAACAAAACTAAGGTTATCTGGTATTACCACCTAATTCTATCCAGCATCATCCCTGTTGCAGCCATCCACAACATTGACCCAAGACAAAATATGTGGGTTACTTGGGCCAATGTGTCTGGGGTTACAGAATTTTGTCTATCCCTCCAAAAAGCCAGTGATCCTTTTCGAACTTGTCTAATTGGTTATCCATACATACATTGGCCAGACTTTAGCCATTTGGGAGTGAACTACACTGCTATTAATAACTCTTATTGGCAGTGGAGAGACGACAACTCACAGGGCGAATGTTCAAAATCGTGGAATTGGCCTATTGTGAAAGAAGCACGTTTTTTACAACAGTTGATATACCAACTCAACGAGTCGGCACCTTTACCCTTACAAGAATTGGATTGGTGGGGATCATTTCCTCCTGTCATAAGTGTGAGTGATGTTTCTAACCAAACCAATTGTACCAATATATACCCAAAGATTTTACCGATCAATGGATCCGGAGTCGTCCATTTTGGAGACTCATGGAAACGTCTCATGCATGCCGACGGCGTAATGCAATATTATCTGGGCTACCAAAATGTGACCGGGCAATCTAGTCATTGGAATACCTCCAAACATGCTGGGGAGTTAAATGTAGAAAACGTGTCTGCCAAAATACTACCTGAGGGTTATTTTCTAATATGTGGTGATAGAGCTTGGCCTGGTATTCCTTTTCGCCCCGTGGGAGGACCATGTTACATTGGAAAGCTAACCATGTTTGCACCTGCCATGTGTGACCTGGTAAGACAGACAAATCACATTCGGACCAAGAGAGATCTCAAAGACTTAGCACCTGATTGTGATGACAATGTGAAACTTGGAACAACAGGTGAAGCCGTTGCTTTGTCACTTTTCCTCCCAGGGGCATGGCGGCAGCAAACTGGAAGAAAATTAAAACTTTGGCGTGCTGGGCTGTAAAACAATTTAACTCTACCTCTGAAATCTTAACAGGTTTAGCTAGCGATGTAAATAGTTTGAGACATGCGGTTTTGCAAAATAGAGCAGCGATTGACTTTTTGCTTTTAGCACATGGGCACGGGTGTCAGGATTTTGAGGGAATGTGTTGTATGAATCTATCTGATCATTCACAAAGTATACACAAACAGCTACAAGAACTCAAGGAACGCATGCATCACGTAAAAGAAGGATCTGCGGGATTGGATGCCTGGCTGGCATCATGGGGAATAGGAGGTTGGCTGAAAGATATACTGAAACAAGGACTGTCTATACTCATTTTTATTCTGGTTTTATTGCTTGTCGTTCCATGTATCTTTAGGTGTCTTCAAGATTGTATCATTCACAGTTTTGACTCTATGCTTAAGCGAAAGGGGGGAAATGTCGGGGCCTTAGCAATTCTTCATGATTATTCTGAGTTCTGAAAAGGTCAGAAGGTAACGGTAAGATAAACAAGAAACGGCTTACTGCTGCAGGAATGCAGGAGTCAGCAGAAACAGGATGGGAAAAACAGTGATAACGGAAACGGTATGCAAATGTGGTCTTCAAAACCACAAATCGGTGGGTTACCTGGGGTGCGTGGACAGCGCGTGCTGACCAATCGTGATGGCGTGCTGTGCTCGTGTTCGCGTGGACAGGACTCAGAATAATATAAATTGTACAGCTTAACAATAATAAAACTGGATTCGAACTTGCATCTTGTGGATGTGTGTATGGTTCTTTCCCGCTCGCTTGCCTGCCTGCAGCACTTGTACTCTAGACCTTTCACGAGCTTCATTGCCTTTCTCTGGACTCACTCCAGAACCTCAATGTCTTTCTTGTAGTGAGAGGCCAAAAACTGAACACAGTATTTAAGGTGCAGCCTCACCAGTGCCAAGTACAGGGAGACAATCACTTCCCTAGTCCTGTTGGCCACACTATTTCTGATACACTGCTGGCTCATATTATTCCCACATAAAGTCATGACATCCTTGTAGTCCTCCTGAGTTACCTGTCCCTCCTTCCAAAGGTAATAAACTCTCCTTTTTTCCCCCCAGTTCCAGTCAAAGCTCTCTGTTCAGGCAGGCTGGTCTTCTCCACCAGCTTGTCTTTTGACACATGAGGAAAGTCAGTTCTTGTGACTTTAGGATTTCCTTCCTGAAGAATGTCCAACTTTCCTGGACTTCTTTGCCCTTCAGGACTGCCTCCCAAGTGATACTCTCAAACAATCTCCTAAACAGGCCAGTCTGCCCTCCAGAAGTCCAAAGTGACAGTTCTACTGGCACCCCTCCTTACTTGTCCAAGAATCAAAAACTCTCATTTTGTGATTGCTATGCCTATGATGGGCTTCGACCATCACATCATCCACCACTCCTTTACTATTCACAAACAACAGGTCCAGTGGGGCACCTTCCCTAGTTGGTTCCCTCACCAACTGTGTAAGGAAGTTATCTTGCACACACTCCAGGAACCTTCTAGACTGTTTCCTCTCTGCTGTGTTGTATTTTCAGTAGACATCTCATAAGTTGAAGTCTCCCATGAGAACAAGGGCTAGTGATTGCAGGACTTCTCCCAGATGTTTATAGAATATTTTGTCTGCCTCTTCATCCTGGTTAGGTGGTCTATAACAGATTCCCACCATATATGTCTTGTTGGCCTTCCCCTTGATTCTTGAGTAAACACTCAACCCTGTAGACACTATCATTAAGCTCCAGACAATTGAGACACTCCCTAACATACAAGGATACCCCATTGCCTTCTCCTTCCTTGCCTATCCCTTCTGAAGAGTTTATATCCATTCATTGCAGCATTCCAGTCATGTGAGTTATCTCACCATGTTTCTGTGATGACAACTATGTCATATTTTTCCTGCTGCACAATGGCTTCCAGTTCTTCCTGTCATCCCATGGACTGGTGTATGCTCAGGTTCCTCATGTGGTCAAAAACCTTATCTTCTCCCATGATGGGAGGGACTTCTTTCTACCAGTCCCTACCTTTAGATTCAGGGTCTCGAAAGATGTGGGAAGAGAGATTGCCAGTGTCAGGGTGGTTGAAGTCCACCACGAGGATCGGAGCCTGCGAGTGTGATGCTTCCTGTAGCTGAAGTAAGAACACTTCATCAACAGGCTCCCCTTGATCTGGTGGCCTGTAGTAAACACCAACCGCAAGGTTTCCTTTGTTGGCTTTTCCCTTATTTTTACCCATAAGCTCTCAACCTATTCAGCACTGGTTCTCAAAGACAGCTCTCTCCAGTCAATTCATTTTTTTACATAGTGGGCAACCACTCCATACCTTCTTCCTTGCTTGTGCTTTCTGAGTCATTGATTGCAGTGCTTCAGTTGTTTGATTTGTCCCACTAAGTTTCAGTGATGGTGATTAAATCATAGCTTTCCAGGTGCACAGAGACTTCCATCTTTTCCTGTTTGTTACCCATGCTGCATGCATTGCTATAGAGGCACTTCAGTGGGCCTATCAACCTTATCACCTTTTTAGAGGAATGCAGCCTAATTCCTTTGTGGCATTTCACCGGTGTCTCCCTGTTCATTCCTAATATTTCTTTTATAATTTCTTTTATAATTCTTTTAATATTATATATTATATTTTACATATATATGTAATTATAATTACTTTTCAATATTTAACACAAGATAAAAAACGTGCAATTTTTTAAAAGAATCTATCCTTCCTGGAAAACAATTTAAAAATCATTTACTACCAAAAGTAGTCATAAAAAAATACCATGTTTGAGCAATGATGGATGCTATAAAATCAGTTTTGAAAAGAATGCTCTATTCCTGATAATGGTCAGTTGACCATAATACTAGAATCAATTGATGAGTCTTTCATGTTGGAAATAGAAAATGAAGTTTAATAGATTGGAACAATAAACAAGCCTTAAGATGTTTTACAGTGTTATGTTGGTTTAATAGATATCAAAACAGGAGCCCCTGGTGGTCTAGTGGTAAGGGCGCGGCGCTGTCACCGCCGAGACCCGGGTTCGATTCCCGGTCAGGGTCACTCCCGGGCAGGTGGAGCTCGTTAGCCCTGAGAGGCAATCCATCTACATCCTAAGGACCTCGCTGCCACCGTCCAAGCTCGCTTGGCCCCGGCAGATGAACCTTAGGATTAAAGGGTGGGCTCAGTTCCGCGCACACTGTGTCTCACCTAAAAAATCCAATGCGCAGGCTGGAAGGTGTAAAGACCTTCCCCGGATCTTCGCTTGCGAAGACTGGTCATTATTATAGATATCAAAACTGATAAGGTTTTAGCAGCCACTGATAATACATAAATGTTCAATTATCCAAAATGAAAAGACAAAGCATATACATTTTACTTTTTTAACAACTAGAACTTTTATATATAAAACTTAAACTAAAGCCTACTGAGGTCAGTAGAAAGGCTGTCTCGACATTATTGGACTCAGGCTCAGGGCCATAGTGCATTCACAGCTGTCAGTTAGACTAGAACTAGTATATAAAGAAAGCCATTTTTATCTTAAAATTAATAAAAATTTAGAATTTGCAGTTAAAAGGGCATATTCCATAGGGAAATATATTCTTAAAAATTCTGAGGCTTTTCTAAATGCAGTGAAATATCCACTCTCCTTTTCTTTAAATACAATGCTAACATCAACTCCAATACACCTTTCTACTCAACAGAATTATGGAAAAATGACACACACACTAAGTTTACATCCTTCAAAATCATTCCCAAAATTTTCCCGAGGCATAAAAATCTCACCACATAAAACAAAACAAAAAACAGTCTTATGAGATGTTACCTGTGTTTAACTTACTAGGAATAGGTCTAAGGACATCAGGAATGAGAATCTCCACCAAAGCCTGGTACATCACATGGTCACAGTTACCCATCCATTTCAAAATAGACTCATTTTTGCACAGAGTAATTAGTTTTCCTTTTGGAAGTCGACTTTCTATTTCACTCAGATTGCTGGTGTGAATAAATGTAACAAATGGAAATGAATTTACATACAGATAAGTACAATGGATTTTGAAATATATTATTTAATGAAAACTTTATCGACATCTTTGTTACATCCAATTGAAATTCTAACTTGGTCATATGAAACTGGGGAAAAAAATAACCTCCAAAATTCTACTCCAGACCATAAATTACGCAGAGGTATGATAAAATGGTCCTTGTGATTTAAACAGACCAGACAATATATTGTGAAGAGATACTTTGAATTTAGTCGTCCCAAGGAAAAAATAGAAGATGTATACAATAATTTCAAGGCTGCAGTTTGACATATACCAACAGCCTATATGTCAAATATCAGACAACAAAAATTTAACCTGAAAAACTACTGATACTAGAAAAGGTTCTTAGCCTATATGTAAAACTAAGTCCTTCTTTGATTTGACTCCTGCTGTTATATCATGATGGTGAACAGTAAGCAAACAGACATTTACTGACCTCAGTTCAATAATAGCTGTGTCATCAGCTGGAGCAGAGGGAGAATAGCGCCAGAAAGTTTGCCACAATTTTTCTATCAGGCTAAACTGAAGATTCACAATAACATCCACAATTGCCTGAAAAAATATAAAACCAGTGCAGATAGTCTTCTATGTGATTCCCCTCCAATTCTTCACAGGGGTATAGCTGGCCCGGTCATTTTGTAGAAAAAATATTAAAATGTATGCTTATAAATAAATGTATATTTTTAATAACTTTTTATCAAAAGTTTTTCCAACTGTCCAGACCAGTGTGGACAGAGACTCAGATCAGGCCAAGAGGAAATACATGGAAGCCTCTAGAAAAGAACCTAAGCAAATATACCATGTGAATTCACCTAAACAGAACTTTTAATACGATTGCAAACACAAAGGAAACCTGCTATTTCATTAATTTTGTTACTTCATTACATGCTTTAAAACCCCATCAACAAAAATTTTAAAACACAATATTCAATATAAAATGTGGTTTTAAATTTTTAAACAAACTACTTCTTTAAAACTTGAAGAAAAATTGATTTTGTTTTTAACATAAACATTAGAAATAATAATTTAATCTAATTTCAACTCCTATAAAAAAAGTAAAATTCTATATATATATTATCTAAAGTTTGTTTTGTCTGAAATTCTCAAAACCTACACATGATTACATTCCAGTATTGGTATTCTATTACATATTAATTTATTTCCCTACTAAGAGAGAAATTCCAGAAGTCTTTTTGCAAATGTCCTTTCTGAATAAGCAAAAGATACAAGTAGGTTGGCCGTAGTCTGCTTTGTGCCAGTCATCCTGTTGAATTGATTCTCACTAGAAGACACAAATTTTCAAAGAATGATTTCTGTGAAATGCCACTTTTCTTACCTCACAGTGTTCTCGATAAAGACTTTGCAGTGATTTTATGTCCTCAAGGGTAGTACCATCTGGTAGAGAAGATATTTCAAGTTCCCCAAACTCCGGAAGTACTCGAGTTGCATCTGTTTCCATGACAACATAACAGAATAAAGCTATTGCAAAGTATGTCAATTATAGTTTGATTAGAAAACATTTAAGGATGATGCAGAGAAACAAAGTCTAGAAGGTCATAATGCCCAAAGAGGAATGTGTTTCATAGTTAATATATTTTAAAGTTTAAAATTGTGAACAAACCAGCTAGTTATTTTTAAAGCAAAAGGAGATGTTAAATTATTATTGACAGATAGCAGATAACATCTTGTATCTGTATAGAAAAAAAGATAAGACTCATTTTCAGAATATGACAGGATGAAGCAGAATATTCATGTCAGTACATAAGAGATTAATATAATTTAATAGTTTTTATTTTGTTCAACTGAATAGTTTTTGAATTGAAATGCATGTTAGGGTTTAGTAGACTTAGCAGCATATATTTATTTGAAAATAAAAAGACTTTCAACTGTAGCCAACATGTGCTTTTACTATTTCTCATAAGTGTTTCCCACAGATATATGTTGTGGGGGGGAAAAATCCCCTGTCAACCAGGGGGACAGTAGAATGAAAATTCAAAAACCTGCTAACTATAGTCTAAGGTTCCCAATGATTTTGGTGACAGCAAGTTTAGGCCAAATCCCAACACATGAATTCAAAACAAAGTATACAATTACTGCAATAACACATTTCATAGAATCATAGAATCAGATGGGTTGTAAGAGACCTCTGAGATCATCAAGTCCAACCCTTGATCCACTACCACCATAGTTACTAGACTATGGCACTAAGTGCCACATCCACTCTTCTTAAAAACCTCCAGGGACGGTGAATCCACCACCTCTCTGGGCAACCCATTCCAATGCCTGATTACCCTCTCTGTAAAGAATTTCTTCCTAATATCCAACCTAAACATCCCATGGCAGAGCTTAAGCCTGTGCCCTCTTGTCCTACTGCTGGTTACCTGGAAGAAGAGACCAATCCCCACCTGGCTACAGCCTCCTTTCACATGGCTGTAGAGAGTGATGAGGTCTCCCCTGAGCCTTCTCTTCTCCAGGCTAAACAACCCCAGCTCCCTCTCCTCATAGGACTTGTGCTCAAGTCCCTTCTCCAGCCTTGTTGCTCTTCTCTGGACCTGTTCCAGCACCTCAATATCCTTCCTGAACTGAGGGGCCCAGAACTGGACACAGTACTCAAGGGGTGGCCTCACCCGTGCTGAGTACAGGGGAAGGATCACTTCCCTCATCCTGCTGGCCACACTGTTCTTGATGCAGACCAGGATGCCATTTGCCTTCTTGGCCACCTGGGCACACTGCTGGCTCATGTTGAGCTTCCTGTTAATCCAAACTCCCAGGTCCCTTTCTGCCTGGCTGCTCTCCAACCACTCTGTGCCCAACCTGTAGCGCTGCAGGGGGTTGTTGTGACCAAAGTGCATTTTTACATTAACCATTTTTACATATAAAAGCCAGGGTGCCATTGGCCTTCTTGGCCACCTGTGATGGTTTTCGTCTAGGTCTTCCTGGTAACCAGTTTGTAACCAAGGAAGTGGCCGTGTACCCAGTATTCCATACGATTTTTATGTAAACCATAGTATAAATAAGTTGAAGATTAGAGACCTCGCTCTCTTCTCTTCCGGCGAGGTTCGGGAACAGTAGGTCCTTGTGTTGGTCTTGCTTATCTAAGGCTGAGGCCTGGAGCGTCCACTGTCCTGCCACGTGGAGGTTTGGAGAGTGCTGACCCTGTCTGCCAATCCTGCTTTTCTAAGGGACGTGGTGAGATCTGTTTTGCTAGTTATTAGTATAGTTCTTGAGTTTGATTGCGTATATCTGTTCGGTGTCCCTTTTTGTCCCCTTTTGTCCCCTTTTGTCCCTTTTTTCCCCTTTCCCTTTTTCTTCGGGGGGTATTTGGATTCCCTTTTGCTGTGTACATAGCATCTTAACTGTATATAACTGTAATATATGAAAATATATATATTTTTATATAAGTAGCTTGATTTCGGGTTCTTTAATTTTTTTTAGTTTTTTTTTCCTTTGCCCTAAGGGAAGAAGGGAGGGGGAAGGGGGTTGCTACTGTGAGTTTGGGCATTTGTCAGGGAGCCAGGTCCGAACTATCACACCACCTGAGAACACTGCTGGCTCATGTTCAGCACCCCCAGGTCCTTTCCTGATGGGCAGCTTTCTAACCACTCTTCCTCAAGCCTGTAGCGCCGCAGGCGGTTGTTGTGACCTTGTTAAACCTCATACCATTGGCCTTGGCTCATCGATCCAACCTGTCCATATTCCTCTGTAGAGCCTTCCTACCCTCCAGCAGATCAACACTCCAGTCCAACTTGGTGTCATCTGCAAACTTATAGAGGTGCACTTGATCCTCTCATCCAGATCATCAGTAAAGACATTAAACAGGACTGACCGCAAGACTGAGCCCTGGGGAACGCCACTTGTGACCACCTGCCAACTGGATTTACTTCTATTCATGACCACTCTCTGGGCTTGGCCATCCAGTCAATTTTTTACCCAGTGAACAGTGTACCCATGCAAGCCATGAGCATCCAGTTCCTCCAAGAGAATACTGTGGGACACAGTGTGAAAGGTTTTACTGAGGCTTAGGTAAACAATAACCACAGCCTTTCCTTCATCCACTAGGCAGGTTGCCTTGTCATAGAAGGACATCAGGTTATAGAATCATAGAATAGTGTGAGTTGGAAGGGATGTTAAAGACCATCTGCATCAGTTGTGTGACTTGACCCACCATGTCTCTGTGATGGCAACTATGTCATTGTTTTCCTACTGCACCATGGTTTCCAACTTCTCCTGTTTGTTGCTTATGCTGCATGCATTGATGTAATACACTTCAGTTGTGTTATCGATCCGCTGCCTTTCCAAGGGGAGAAACTCTAATATCTGCTTGACCATTCTCAGCTGCTTCCATGGTTTCTAGCACATCAATAACCCATGCATCCTTGCTACTGCATGTATCTCCATCACATACCTCCACTGAACAGACTGAAGGACCTCTCTAGCACACCACCCCTCAAACACTGACATACCATCCCCAGGCTTATCTCCAGTGTTCCTGATTTTATTCCCTTCAAATCTAGTTTAATGGTCTCTCAGTGAGCCTTGCTAACTCCTGTACAAGGATACTTTTCCCCCTTTGAGACAGGTGTACACCAGCTGTTGCCAGCAGGTTTGGTGCCATGTAAAACAACCCACAATCAAAAAATCCAAAATTCTGCCGGTGACACCAGGCTCGGAGCCAGGTATTCATCTGTATGATTTTCCTTTTTCTACATCCATTGTTCCCTGCAACTGGAAGAATAGAGGACAACACTGTTCATGCTCCATATCCTTCAACCAGTCATCCTAAAGCCCTGAGGTCCCTCTTGATTGTCCTCAGACTTCTTGTTTGGACTTTATTGTTGCCTACCTGAAAAAACAGTAATGGATAATAATCAGAGGGTCGTACCAGGCGACAGAGTTTCTTGGTAATGTCTCTTACTCTGGCCCCAGGGAGGCAGCACACTTCCCTATGGGTTGGGTCTGGTCAGCATATCAGGCAGGCCCCTGTTCCTCCCAAAAGGGAGTCACCAATGACAACTACTCTTTTTTTCTTGACTGAGGCAGTTGTGATGCAGGGGGTAGACTTACTCACCCTAGGCAACTCCTCCAACCTGTATGGACCTTTGTCCATATTGTAGTGTGTCCATATTATATTTGTGTTCAAGAGACATCTGTATGTGGCATTTGAGGATATGGTTTAGGGGTAATTATGGTGGTGCTGAGTTGATGGTTGGACTAGATGATCTTGTTCTCTTCTAACCTTGACAATTCTGTGCCTGTTCTTCAAGTTCTAGAGTCTCATACTTATTGTAGAAGGGCACCTGGAAATCTGAGGTAAGCCAGGAGGGGATTCACCTGTTGCCTCAAGTAGACACCTGTTTCCATTGCTCCCCCATCTTTTAGGTCCCCTCCTTCTACCTGGTGGTGAGACAGTAGAGTATCCTTTGCTTCTTGTGATGTGGTTGGTTGGTGTATTTGCCTAAGGGATGGTAAAGAGTGGCTCCACCAGTCAACCTCCTCCTGAGACTTCCATATACTTCTTAATCTTTGTACCTCCTCCCTTGAGCAGGTCATCCACTTCATCCCACCTCACATAACTGTTGTCTCTACTGCCATCCAATACCAGTGCCAGGCTCTGGCACTCCCTGTAGCCCAAGACCTAGATGGCTGCGTGATTTCATGGCAGCTTTGTCTGTGTCACCGCATCCTTTCTGGCAAGTGCAGAGGACATAGCTCCCCACTGAGCAGATATGATAGCTATCCTTCTGAGAGGGTAATGACCACCAACTGAGCTGACCTCTTGAGCTGGAGGCTGACTGCATCCTCCCTTTGTGAACTGCCAGGAAGTGCCACACCCTGTTTACCTGCTCTACTCCCTGTTCTCCCTCAGAGATGCTTTTGTAGGGGTGAGGAATGGACATGCCACTCCTGATCCCACCCACACTGAGTCAGTGCTGCCTCTGAGTCAGAGCTTCAACACTTCCTGCTGGGAGGAGGGGGGCTGAGGCACCTCTTGGTGCTAATTTTAAGATCTTGCTGCTTCAGGAACTCTTCCCACAGTCCCTCTGCATGATCCTTGATTCCAGAACACGTCTGCCAGAGCAGTTTGCCTGGGAGTCTTCATCGCAATTGCATTGCAATATATTTTAAATCTACCATGCAAGTAGAATTTGCACATTTTTCCTTTTATATTTGCATGATGCATATTAAATATTGCAGAAGTCTTCCAATACAGAACATATAACTCCTATGAGTATCTTTTTGTTCTATTAACAGTGAGACGACAGTATAACACATTTTTTCATACCTAAAAACTGTTGATGATGTTGACTTTGGGCAATTATAGTTTGTTCAGCAGATGTACCTGTCTGTTGACCACTTCCTGTGAAACCATCTGCAACTCCATCCACTTTCTGCACAGGCTTGTACCTACAAAATTATCAAATACAAAATTATTTTTTATGTTAAATTTTTTTGTAAGTGCAATGTCACACTCTGTTCTACCTGATTTCCCAGTCTCAATATACAGTTTTGCTAGTTCACACAAAAGAAAAAAATTAACATCAGAATAATTGTAGCAATTGCCAGAATTGCCAGAACACTGGCAATGCATTATAAAATTCATAAAGCGGATATAGCAGCACAAATATCAATTTATTGTGGAATTTAGTTTTAAAACTATACCACTAACATCTAAAGCTCATTTACACTATTTCCTTTTCCAAAGGACTTGTCTTCTCAGGAATCAAGTAGCTCAAAAATAAGGTTTAATCATCTAAAGAAGGGCCATGCACCTGTTTGAAGACAAAGGAATTTAAATAACTAAGTAGCTGAAGCAGGGGAAGTTCAGACTTGATATTAGGAAGCATTTCTTTACTGAGGGGGGTGGTCAAACACTGGAACAGGCTTCCTACAGAGGTGGTTGATGTCCCAAACCTGTCAGCATTTGAGGCATTTGAAGAATGCCCTTAATAATATGCTTTAACTTTTGGTCAGCCCTGAAGTGCTCAGGCAGTTGGACTAGATGATCGTTGTAGGTCTCTTACAACTGAAATAGTTCTATTCTATTCTATTCTAAACTCTTCATCAGTCAAGTCACAAAAGCTTTTATAAAGGATAAAAAGGACAGAGATACAAATAGGAGTCCTGGTTTGGATGGTCAGATGTTAAAACTATCACACTGACAGGCTGAAGACTCTGCCTGCAATCTTCAACACAACTGAAAATTCTACTACAGTTCTTAGTGGTAAGAACTTGGAACCTTTGGTCTTCTGAAATAGCTTTTTTGCCAGAAGAAAACTAGAGAAACCTCGGTGCAGAAAGCAATGCATGTGAACTGTTGCTCAAGTCTGAAATTGCAGATGGTAAGGTTTTATATTAACTTTAGAAACATCAACAAATTCCACTCTGAAAATGCTCCTCTTAAGAAGCAGTTGGGTCAGATGTGAGCATGTTCTCATTTTGATCTTATTAAACAGATAATAGGAATGCCCTATATAACTATTTAGATTTTAGTTTATGAGAAAACTCCCATAAGAAGTAAGCATCCAAGGTTCTGGTCATTCTAGACATATATTTAACTATACAATAACATAGAACATGTGATATATAAGATGTATACTTCTCCAAAAGATGCCTCTTGACCTGATTAACATAGAGTATGATAACTTTAGGAATGTTAATGCTTGGAAACAAAAACTTCTGTCATCATCTTAATCTATGGGACTTTTACATGAAGTTTGGTTATTTTAAAAGCCCAGGATAAAATCCCAGGCCTGCAGAAATAAATAGCACAATTGTAATCAACTTTAGAAGACTAAAGTTTAATCTCTAGTATCACAGTAACATTGAACTCTTATGGATAAAGTTCTCATCACTTGATAGATCTATTTGCAATCCTCAAACCCCATTTTGTAAGAACTTTTAACTTTATTCTCATTATCATTAAAAACACCTGGCAGAAGATAAATTTCTATTTTTAAATTAAAATCAGTATGTTCCCATAGTTCCACTAGTTCCTACAAAATTTAATATTTCAAAAACTTTTCAGTTCTTGGAGTAGAATCCAAATTGCCTTGACTGCATAAAAGTAACAGTCCTTTGAGTTTCTAGGGTTTAAAAAGAACTTTCACACAGAAAAAAATCTAGGTGCTAGAAATCCAGATTATCCCACCATTTGCTCCAATGTACTTCATGTAAAAAATCTTGGTGAAAAGTCTTAATTCTGGCATTATTACAGGTGACATTATAGGAGTCAAACAGCTTTTACAGGCCAGTCAGCCTCAGCTTGATCATGAGAAGGTGATGGAGCAGCTAAACCTAGGAACCATTTACAAATGCATGAAGAAGGTGGTGATTGGGAGTAGTCAGCATGGATTCACCAAAGGAAATTCACGCTTGACCAAATTGATAAACTTCTAAAATGAAATGGTTGGCCCGGTAGATGAGGGGAGAAGATGATAAAATAAAAAGATTTTTTAGATTTGTTTTTATTTCTCATTATCCAAATCTGATTGACAATAAATTGAATTAATTTCCCCAAGTTGCGTCTGTTTTGCCTGATGGTAATTGTTGAGTGATCTCCCTATCCTTATCTTGACTCATGAGCATTTTGTCATATTTTTCTCCCTTCTACTGAGTATCTTGGTGGGCAATTGGCAGTCAGCCAAGGTCAACCCACCACAATGGTTGGGCCCAGGGGATAGTGATCAGTGGCAAAAAGTGTACCCCATGGGTCAATACTGGGTCCAGTCCAGTTCAACATTTTCATTAATGATCTGTATGATCAGGCAGAGTGCACCCTCAGCAACTTTGCAGACAGCACCAAAACGAGGAAGAGTGGCTGATATTACAGAGGGTTGTGCTTCTTCCAGAAAAGGACATGGGAGTCCTTGTGGACAGTAAGTTGAACATGAACCAGCAGTGTGCCCTTGCTGCAAAGGTCAATGGTACCCTTGGCTGCATTAGGCAAAGCATTGCCAATAGGTGGAGACATGATCCTTCCCCTGTACTCAGCACTGGTGAGGCTACACCTGGTGTACTGTGTCCAGTTCTGGGCTCCCCAGTATAAGAGAGACATGGACATACTAGAGAGAGTCCAGCAAAGGGCCACCAAGATGATTAAGGAACTGGAGCATCTCTCCTAAGAGAAAAGGTTGAAAGAGTTCGGACTCTTTACCCTGGAGAAGAGAAGGCTCAGGGGGGATCTTATTCATATATATGAATCCCTGAAGGGAAGATACAAAGAAGATAGAGCAAAGCTTTTTTCATTGGTGCCAAGTGAAAGCAAAAGAGGCTGTGGGCATAAGCTGAAACACAGGAGATTCCCTCTGAACATGAGGAAACATCCAGTGATTGAACACTGGAACAAGTTTCCCAGGGAGGTGGTAGAGTCTCCCTCCTTGGAAATATTTAAAAGCCATCTGGACACAGTCCTGGTAAACTGGTCTAGGTGGTCCTTCCTGAGCAGGGGAGTTGGACAAGATGACCTCCAGAGGTCCCTTCCAACCTCAACAATTCTGTGATTCTGTGATGCCGTGAATTCAATTATTTAAACATCCTGGCATTTCCTTCCCATAAACCATCTAACATCAGTATGTCAAATGCAAATCAGCCTTCCATTTAGAAGTCTGAGCCATACAGTAGCTCCAACTGAAAGGCAGGGCTATTACCTATATAGGCGAGGTAAGTCCTTACCTGTGCATTTCTTCTATTTCCGTACAAAGGTGCTTTAAATGTCTTGATCTGTTGTCTCTTGTGTCCAAGCTACTGTCTCAACTGGGAGATGGGACTTGTAGCAACAGTCATCTGTAGTTTACATTTACTATTTTTTAATTTCTTATTGAAAAAGAGAAGTAGCACTCCGAATAGTCCCCCTGTGTTCTGAATAGACCCCCTGTGCTCCAGGACGAAATAGTCAGTGACTTACTGAGCCACCTGGATTCACACAAGTCCATGCGACCAGATGGGATCCATCCTAGGGTGATGAGGGAGCTGGCAGAAGAGCTTGCCAAGCCACTCTCCATCATTTACCAACAGTCCTGCCTCTCTGGGGAGGTCCCAGATGATTGGAAATTGGCAAATGTCATACCAATCTACAAAAAGGGCTGCAAGGAGGACCTGGGAAACTACAAGGCTGTCAGCCTGACCTCAGTGCCTGGCAAGGTTATGGAGCAGATCATCCTGAGTGCAATCACACAGCACCTACAGGATGGACAAGGGATCAGGATGGGTTTAGGAGAAACAGGTCCTGTTTGATCAACCTGATCTCCTTTTATGATCAGGTGACCAGTTTGGTGAATAAGGGGGTATCGCGGGTGGGGTTTGTCCCCGCGATAGACCCTCGCGCACATCTTGTATAGGAAACGAGCCCCCAGATAGGTGACTCACAAAATGGCTCTTTATTAAAACAAGGTTTCAGTTTATATAGAGAGGTACATAGAAGGGTCTCGAACAAGGGTGGGATTCTTGCCAGGGGCACGAATCCTAAGGGTCAGAGATAAGGGAAAATGGAGGGATTGGCTGCAGGGATATGTCCAGCCATATAGGGAGATTTGGGAGTTATGGAAGGAAGGGAAGGAATGGTGAGGGGCACAGATAGGGGAATTCTGCAGGGGTCTGTGGAAGCGGCGTCTTATCGCTGGATCTCAGGCGCTTCCTGCATTTGCAGCTGTCAGAGCACCTCTAGATCGATTTCTTCCTCCGAGGTTTCTTCGTAGCCTTTCTGTATCTGTCTCCATTCTCTGTAGGCCTCTGCTGCTCCACCCCCGACATCTCCCCCTTCTCTGTTTTTTAGGACTGGGAAAGCTTGGGAAAAACTTTTAGTCATGGATTTTTTAACACGAAAAATTTAGACAGGGAAGGAAGACAAGGATGGAGAAAATGATAATTAGAATTCTTTGATTTTCTGCTAGCAGGCTCTGAATGGCAAGAGAAGTGGCATTGGTTTCTTTGGCCATCCAGCAGGCCATGTGGGAAGGAAGGTGGAAGGCAGTTTAGTGGGTTGAGAGAAACGTTCAGTAGGAAGAGGGTAAGGTTTGGAGTTATTGCACCATGCGGTGGTGTTAGTATAGATGGAGGAGATGGAGGATAGGTTAGGTGTTAGGTTAAGGCGATTAGTAGTAGGTTTAAATCTAAGGGAAGTGGTAATTACAGATGAGCCTAAAAGATCTAATTCTTGGGGATCTGTATCTAGGGTACCTAAATGTAGGAGGGTTTGGGAAATAGTGTTTGAAGAAGGAAGGAGATTATCTACGAGGGAAGTGTTTTGGATAAACCTGTTCCAGTCAGGAATGCCCATGAGACAGCTTTTAAATGGATGACTCACGCTGTCAAGGGAAAGGCACATTGTATCAGTGTTGGTGGCTTTGGTTAGGGTAATCCAGACGTTTTCTGCTGGTCACTGCATCCAGTCTGGAATTGAGAAGGTT